AGATATAATGAATTCCTCAACAGAACCGACTTTTGACTCAAACAATAGGTGATAAAGTAAAATTAAGAGGAGGGGGGTTGTGAAAACTTTCCTTTCCATCATCAATTTCGGCCAAACAATGTTCCAACCTTACTTGCTTCTAATACTATTGTCAGCTTTCGGATGAAATCGTGTCAATTTAGAGGGACTTCACTTTCTGTGCGACCTAAGCATCAAGGATGTCATCTCACCATATTTCTTATGCAACTAAAATTATTGAAAGTTGAGAAAGCTGCCAAACCCACATTCTAACAACATTTTCAGCTTTCCTATCTAAAAAAAAACAACCAAACGGACCCTAAGAGTAAGCGGGTGTTTATGTCAGAAAGTTAGTTGTATGGCAAGTAGATAGTTAGAAGACTTTAGGGTCCATGGATCTTCCTTGATAGCTGATCAAACAAGAGGAAGTAGATTCCTGAACAATAAACACTCGTTAGAGGGCTGAAGTTTGTTGCTCTGCTGTGCCCTCTGACGTTTAAGTCAATAATAGATTAAGCAAGTTTGTAAAATCTAGTCTTTGGGAGTTATTTAACATTTTTTGCATACCTTAGAATAATGGAGGTTGCCCACTATTTATGGAGAGTTAGCAAGGGCACATTGGAGATTTGACCGGGTCAGCGTGGTCGGTTGATCAAACCGCACTTTACACTTGTCAGCAATCAGTTGAATAAGTCACATTCACATTTAATACGAAAATGACAGAACGGTTGAAGTGCTGACTTGGTTCGAGGAGTCATAACTTCAGCCCGAATAGTCATAAATGACTTTGACTTAATATTAAATACGATGGTGATTAAACGGTGAAGTACACTGTTGAAGCTGATGGATCACCTTGTTATTTGAGACATTCTTTAGTGAGGGCCTGAGTAGAAGACACATTTCGTCTTGGACTTGGGTTCTTCTAGCGTATCCTAGCTCGAAGATGTCTTTCATCTCGATTTTGGGTTGCCAGAGGGTCAGCAATGCTCACATCCGGGTCGGGCTTTTGGAATAGCGGGACTCTGCCAGTTAATTATGCCACATGTATGACTCTCCAGAGTTCATTAGACTTGGTAATTCTCATGATACAACAAGAAGAAAAGTTAAAAGGTATATGAAGATTATCTGAGAAACTTTTGAGTTCTAAGGGTAAGATGGGAATAGTTTTCAGGTTAAGAGGGTAAAAACATATTAATGGGATCTATTGCGAAAAGCGCCCCCTATTTTTGTAAAATTTGCTCAAATTTCAACTCAATATGTCATTCTAGTACTTTTCTAGTCATGGATTATGTTAACCCATTTACCCGATGAATAACCCCCTTATTGACTTCCGACTCAACTGAACTTTGAAGCCTCCTAATATAAATTGCTTCCCCCCCCCCCCTCTATGTGTCAACTTATTAGTTTGTCTTTTAATTTACACAACAAGTCAAGGATTAGTTGCAATCGTAACATAAAACTCGGCTGTAACGTAACAAATGTCTTAATTTTTGCTGAAGAATGAAAATTAGTAAACATTATATTATATTATATTATATTATATTATACTCTCTTTAAAAGTACGAGTTTGAGAAAATCATTTTATGATCAATATTATCCTTATCTTTTTTGAATATTACGTTATTATCCTGATCTATTCTAATTATCCTATCTTCTTTGATTTGGTAACCAAATGATTTATTCTATTCATAATAAGACTTAACATGTTATTGGATAAAATATATATGTTTTATATAATTCAAATCATTTACTTATTTTAGTTGTAGAGAAATCTAAAAAATATATGCTAGCCAGCACCTAAAAGTTTTTTGATCTTTGTAAAAAATATTTTCCAAGTTTTTTAAATTACAAAAATGTCCCTACAAATTCAAAATTTTATTAAAGCGTCTTGAAAATTACAAATTTTACTTATCTAAACTCAGTGAGAAATCTAAAAAATATATGCTAACTAGAAACTGAAAGTTTTTTGAATTGGGAAAAAACATCTTGTAAGTTTTAACAATTACAAAAACACACCTAAAAATTCAAAATTTATAAAAAACACCTTAAATTTTTTAAACCTATAAACATACTAAAAACCTACAAATAACACAAAAAACCCTCAAATTTTTATGAAATTTGCAATGCACACTATGAACCTTTTATAAATTGCAAAATAAAACCCTCAAAATTATAAAATTTATAAAAATCCTGATAATTTTTGACCTAACAGTACATTAAAAATATAGGAATTATAAATATCCCCTACACAATTTATAATTTATAGAAAAAACACCCTTAAAGTTTTAAAAATTACAAACAAACATTTAAAATTCTAAATTTATAAAAAAACACCCTAAAAATTTTAAAGTCATTAGTAAATTAAAAACATAGGAATTACAAATAGTCTATAAACAATTTACAATTTGTAGAAAAGACCTATAAGTTTAAAAAATTATAAAAAATCCTTAAAATTCATAATTTACAAAAAAACATGAGAATTTCTAACCTATAGACACTAAAATGAATATGCAAAATTATTAACAACCCCTAGAAAATTAAAATTTTACAAAAAATATCATACACCTTTTAAAAGTATAGGTTTAGGAAGAACTTTTCATGATAAATATTACCCATAACTTTTTTGAAAAGAACATAACTAATTAAAAATCTATTAAATTTGAAATATATAAAAAACACCCTCAAAGTTTATTACGTTACAAATTATCCCTCCAAAGTTTGAAATTGTTCAATAATTTTTTTATAATTCCTTGATATCAATGTAATGTTTAATAGTTTTGTGTATTTATAAATTAAAAATTTTAGGGTTTTTTTTACACTTTTTAAAACTTTTGAGGGTGTTTATTTTATAGTTTTTGAAATTTTCATTATGTTTTCAGTGTAATGCATGTATACATCAATTAATGATGATATTGAAGAATAAGTCGTTCTTTAAATTATTAGACCATAGTTAAGTGTGCACATCACTATTCCTAGAGAGTATAGTTTATATATGCAAATATTTTTAGACAATCTATATAGTGGTTAAAAAGATTTTGACATTAATGTACTATTTTTTATAAATTATATTTAATGTGAATCCACCATATAATTTTGATTGTGGTCATCATAAATTTAATATGTTTGATTGATTGCCTATTTACGTTTATAGACCATAGATTATTTTACTTTCTCACATGAGCTAATATTTGGTGCTTAATAATTTAAATTATTTCTTTTAAATTTAATATAAAGAGGAGCTCTAATAACAGTTATTTATTTACCTATGACATAATACAACTCAAGTCCTATTTTTTTGCTGAAGATTTATTCCATAGTTATGCGTATCAAATTAGTAACTAAAATAATAATTATTTATGCTTAAATTATGATGATTGTAGTTGGCCACTCACTATGAACTTTTTATGAAAATATATACCTTACTTTGTATATTTTATAAATTAGTTTTTAATTTGACGTATTAAATTATTTTTTTCGTTGTAGCAATTTTTTCTTTGACTTTTAGACTATGTAATCACTATATCACCATTCTAGCATAGAATGACCTCATTCTAAATAGCTCCAAGCTAATGTTTGAGTAGCACTGAAGTATAAACTATTGGTATTATGCATATATATATTTTAAGAAAATCATGTCAATATTTTTTAAATAGAAGAGAATATTCTAACCTATGATGTTATAAAAATTAAATATAACTAATTGAATTATTAGCAAAAGATAACTTATATCAGAAAAGTGTGAATAATAAGATAAAGAGGAAAGATAATAACATTGCCAACAGTACTACAAATAGCAAACTACAATGTAAAGTTAATCTATTTTGTAGAGCCTAATTGCTAGCTATAAGCATCGAGGTTTTCATATATATACTTTATAATTTATTAAAAAGGGTCATATAATCTTACATAATAAAATTGATTTAATATTGAATAGTAATATCGTTGTAATAATATTGTTATTAGAATTTTTTTCTATGAATCGATATGTTCTTTACGATATATAAGGTATGCACTCTAAATTCTTATGTCTTTTATAGAGCCAAAAAGTTTTAATACGAGCCTCTAATATGTTCCTCTCACAACAGCAAAATCCACTTAGGAGATATGGATATTCCAGATGAGTTATGCATCCTATATAAAATACAATTGCTCTAGACAAGTGAGTTATAATAGTATTTTTTATTTAAAGCGTTTAGGGTAAGATTTGATAGGGACCTTGCATCAAAGAATTTTTTTATATTTAGAGCACGTGACGAAATATATCATTATCTCACTGTTCTAATTCCGCAAGAATTTTTTTTCCATACTTTTAGTTTTACTTCTATGATATAGAGAATGAGCTATAAATTTGAATAAGAATATTAGATAATATAAATATGAGTGAAACATCAACTAAAAGTTAACGTGAATATGAGCCAAACCACAACTAAAAGTTTAATGGACATATTGCAATTAAATTCATATGCAAAATTCCTTTGTGAATTGAATGATCACCCATCTTTTGAAGACTTCAAGATACTAATAAATAGAGATATTGTACTAGATTAATATATTTATAACTCACAAATAGTAGATCACTTGGTCTTAGTCTGGGTTGAAAGAAACAATGACAATATTTTATTTGATAGAGAGATTATCGAGTTGATGATTAATCTCACAAAAAATTTTGTTTTCTTTTTTTACTCTATTTTTTATCAATTTAAATAATCATGATATTCAACCACGTACAATACACGTGCATCTGAACCCATGATATTCAACCACGAATGCACGTGCATTCCAACTAGTCATCCCAAATGAGAGAGGAGATTGCTTCTCCTCTAAATGCCCATACACATCTGTGGCCTTTGAAGCCCAAAAACCCAAACCATTACCTTGGACTTTGCAAGTTCTTTTCTGGTCCATTTCTGACCCGCTCAGGCCCAATAGAACAGAAAAAAACCCTAGCCCCATATATTTATCTATATAATCCCTAATCGCCGCCGCCGTCGTCTTCTTTCTAGGGTTTCATCGAAAGAGAGAAGCAGAGCAGAGAAAAAATGGTTGCTCTCAAGCTCCAGAAGAGGCTCGCCTCCAGCGTCCTCAAGTGCGGCAAGGGCAAAGTCTGGCTCGATCCCAATGAGGTCAACGAGATCTCAATGGCCAACTCTCGTGAGCTCCATTCCACCCTTTTTCTTTTTCTTTTTCTTTGTTTTTGGATTTTTAATTGGTTTATTTCGTTCGAATTGGATCTGCACGCATAAGAAAGTTAAGGTTTTGATCGATAATTATTTGGTTACTTTGGTCATGATGCTTGAAGCGAAGTCCTGTATACATTTTGATTTTAGATTATGGGTCTTTGAAGTGTCTTAAGTGGAAAAGTATCCACTTTCTCTTTTGGATTAATATGCAATTATTTTTTTAGTGGCTATTTTTGTGTATCGATATATGATATTCTAGAAAATTGATATAAAAGAAAGAATTTAGTAGTTGTTTGCTTGATTTTCGTAGGGTTTTGAAGGTTTAGTGATTTTTGAAATCAGAAAGAATAACGTTTTGATTGAGAGTGAGATGTATTGGATGTATATTTTGATAAGATTAAAACAGTCGTAGAGTATGGTATTCTTTTAATGCGGGATCTTTTTTATTTTTATTTTGAGGATTTTTTCGTGCAAATTTTTTCAATGACAATGATGAAAGAAATTGTTGGAGGTGTGTACTTTGAAAGAATATTTTTAAAATTCTAGATAATGTACATTTTCTTATACTATTCATGCTATAATTACTCAGCAACAGCAGCTTCCACATGCTTAATATTTCTGGGAAGAATTTAGTTATTTAAATTACATTTTCGAGCTAATGTTATGATGTATATAAATACTTTCTTGCCCCTTTTGCTAACTTGTATTATTTATTTCTTATTCTTATGTTATAATTCATTGATGTCCAAGCGACTCAACTATTGTTCCTGCAAAGTCTAGATTAAACCTATTAATTGGTGTTGTGCTGTACTGCTAATTGTCAAATTCACCTTCATTATTATGATGTAATGTTGACAGCTAAAACCTTCATGTTTTTTTGGCTTCCTTCCTTTTTGCTTGTTGGAATTTACTTTTCAGATTATGAAAAGTTTAGATTGACATAAGCTTAATATGGCTACTGTGTTCTTTCTAAAAATGGCATTCTGCTCTCTCAAATTGCAGGTCAGAACATTAGGAAGCTGGTGAAGGATGGATTTATCATCAGGAAACCCCAGAAGATTCACTCACGCTCTCGTGCTAGGCGAGCTATGGAGGCAAAGAGGAAGGGGCGACACTCAGGCTATGGTGAGTTGTGTTTAATAATTCAAAATTTTAGGTACATGTCTTTGATATTGCCCTTGTTTTGCTAAATGAACTGAAATGGTCTAGGTAAGCGCAAGGGTACTAGGGAGGCTAGGCTGCCAACTAAGATCCTTTGGATGAGGAGAATGCGAGTTCTTAGGCGTTTGTTGAGGAAGTACAGGGAAGCAAAAAAAATTGACAAACACATGTATCATGATATGTACATGAAAGTCAAGGGTAATGTGTTCAAGAATAAGAGGGTGCTGATGGAGAGCATTCACAAATCTAAAGCTGAGAAGGCAAGAGAAAAGACGTTGTCTGATCAGTTTGAAGCCAAGCGTGCTAAGAGCAAGGCAAGCAGAGAGAGGAAGATTGCTAGGAGAGAAGAGCGATTGGCACAAGTGAGTTGAAAGTTCACCTTTTTCCCCTGCAAAGTTTTGCATGTGCTATCAAAATGTTTGCCTTACATATGATGTGATAATCTGTTAGGCATTGGTATGCTATTAGGTTGATCTAGTGTCGAGACTCCAAACGCATTGAATTCGTAGCGTTATTGGAGACAAAACTCATGCAATGCTATTCATACCATATTAGGGATACACTGAGTAAATTATTGTGTACTAGGTGCCTATCTACTTTTACTTGTGGCTTATTATACTTTTAATTTGTGTTTTGTACTTTGCTTGCGTATAAGCTGGCAGCCTATAGGTTTAGGTGCATTGTTTAGATGGTCTTATGTTACAATTATGTATTATCATCAAGGCTTTATTTATGCTCAAAAGAAGGATTTGAAATGTGAAATGAAAGAAACTTAGGTAAAAGTATCCATGATGCTGTTTAATTTAGTAACAATTACCTGTTTATTGCCAGTTACGATTGTTTGGTCCGGTGATTTCCATACTAAGTGCAGTTTCTTTCATGATCATTGTATTGGATGTATTAATCTCCCCCTTTATGTCTTGAACCTATCAATGACCATATTCCTCCCAATAAAAGGGAGGGAAAAAAAAGTATAACCTATTGGTAGATTGATTGTGTAGCGGTTGTAGCCCTTTCTGTTTTCGTGATTCTGTATGGTCATATAGCGTTGTGGAATGATTTGGAGCATATTTATTTGACATGGAGGAATTTGTCTGGCATGTCAAGTGATTCCATAGTTTAACATCCCTCTACTACTTAGCAATGATATATTTATTACTTTTCTTTCTTTGTCATCCTGAATTCCTCTATAGTTCCTTGACACTGTCACTAATGTGTTGATGCTTATATTAGTCTAGCAAAATTTGTTCATTGTTGTGGTCATGATCTGTCTTTAACATTGATATCATTTTTCCTATGTAGGGTCCTGTTGAAAAAACACCACCATCAGCTCCTGCTGCCCAACCCACCGAGTAAGTTATCCTATCTTTTCTGCTTGTAAATTTTGCCATCAGAGAAAAGCTGATTTACTCTTGAATCATATATATGCAGTGCACCCACCAAAAAGTCGAAGAAGTGAGGAGTTGATCTACTACCACTTGCAGACTAGTTTTATGAACTTAATTAGTTCCTTTATTTTCTGCGGAACTTTGTCAGTTATTTCGGATACTGTTAGATCCAAGAAACTTATTTCTAGTCCTTTCTGTCTGTTTGAATTTATCTTGTTTGCTACATATCAAGCATATGATAGATTTTATTATTACATATGAGCTGAAATTTTGTTGCGTTATCTGGGATTATCAACTTTCATACGAGCTTTGATTTCTAACAGAAGTCGTTTTGACTGCTAATACTATTGTATAAGATGCCATATGCTATACTCCAAATATGGCCTTCCTATGTGCGTCTGTCTTTACTAATTTTAGTTCTATCCTTTGCTGAAATTTGCAATTGTCAATACTTTTCTACCAAAAACCTCAGAAGACCAGTGTTCTCTCTATCTCCAAATGTTTCCCTCTATCTCATCATCCAGTTATGATGAAGGATCGCGTTGATCTCGTGTGCATCGCCTTTGCTTCTTTGTTCCTCATCACCACCTGTTTTGTTCCCTGTTTCTTGCATTGGCGTCGAGCTGCTAATTTTGTCGAGGCCACCCCTGTGAGCTCAAACCTGCAGCAAAATCCTTGCTAGTTGTGTTGATATGTTGCTTTGGCCATCAGTCTCGTTCTAATCGGCCCCTTTGTCGATTGCCTGTGGGACTCGATGACCCAGGTTTTCTCGTTGAATTAAAGCCTATAAGGTTGTTTCTTTGCTGAGGATTTCTCTTTTATTTCACAGGAATATGATAGCTTTAACAAGTCTATTGTACATAGTTTCGTCTGCGTTCCAGTTTCTTCTCTTTTATTTCACAGGAATATGATAGCTTTAACAAGTCTATTGTACATAGTTTCGTCTGCGTTCCAGTTTCTAGTTTCAAAGAAGAGCTACCAAGTAATGATAAATCAATGAGAAATATAGAGGGCGTCTCGTACAAAATTGACTTTGGCTGAAATTGTGAGATAAATAACTTCTCTCCTTTTTTCTTAAGATTGCCTCTACGTTGCTGGATTAATGTCAGGCACGATTGTACGAAAGTTGATTGTTTGGTTTTGAGTCAGATCCTGAAGAGTGATGAGAAAATATAGTCATTTTTTCGGGCGAAAATTTGGAGAAAGAGCGAGGGTATTTTAGGTACAAAAGAAAAGGGGTATTGAGATTGGAGAAGGCGTTTCGTGGGAACGGGTGGCATGGGTCCGAAGTACAGAGCCGTTCCTGCGCGGACCGGCTCGTCGGGTTTCTCCATTTTGCAGCTGGGCCCTCTTTTTTGAAGTTTTGCATATGAAGGTGGAGATTTGTTTATCTTAATTTTCAATGGCAATTTGATTTTTAATATATGTTCGTTGGTTTTTATTGAGTTAAACTTCCTGTCAAGGAAAGATTTTTAATCACATCCGTAGTAAAAATTATGTACTGACTTTAAAAATGGAAACAGAAGCAATTCTTCCTACTCAATCACATAAACTAAGACAAAGATACGTAGAAATATAGAACGAAACCATAACACAAACAGAAAATAAAATTTTACGTGGACTTATAACGAAAGGCTTCAAATTAGAGTCCAAAAACATCATCATAGAAATTATAAATAACCCTGCAAACATCTTATCTTCATCAACCAACAGTAGTACTACTTACTTGCCTTCGATCTCTATAAAAACAGTAGTACTACTTCAATAATTAGCCATTATAGAAAACTCAGCGATACAAAAGAATTTAGCCTATAATCCGCATAAGAAGCTCTAGACTACACCATTAGCCTTCATTTAAAATACTATAGGACATATAACCATGGTTAGCTACAACAACAAGCCAAAATATCACATCAACATAAACTTGCTAAAGAAAACAATATCTCAGAATTCTTCATTTATCCTTTAAAAGTCTTCTCCTTTCTCTCCGGTGCTCCCAACGTCATGCCTCTAGGAACTTGTTCGCCCCTACATTACACAATTAAGCATCAATTAGTGCATGATGCAAAATATACATAGAAAGTATACCTCCGCAATAAAATTAATGGTGAATATAATGGAATAATTACCACACATCTAAACTACTGCTTAAAAATGAACTCAATAAATTCTCTTATTCTTTGTTAGGAAGTGACTTTAGTAAATAAAATTTTTCCATATTGTCGTTCCTTATTGAAACACAAGAGTGGCAATCAAATACATCACATAATAACAAAAAGTTCAAGGATTTTATTGTTGCTTGTTAACTTAGCAAATTGCCACAAAATTCAGTTTAAAATATAGAACAACAAAAGTTCAAACATAAATATTCTGAAAATGGAGAAATTCTACAAAAATAAACGGCTCAGTTATCAGAACAAAGAAAATTCTCCAAGAAGAAATGAAAAATAGAATATAACTTCTTCCTAATGAGGACTACTTATAAAAGAAGATTCAAGCTACCAAGTCTAAGAAATATGGAGTGTTAGAGTACACATCAACAATAACGCCTTGAACGGAGACGTAATACACAGAATAAAGGCACAAAAATTAGTCACAGTATTCACTGATATACGTGGTTCACTCCTTCGGAGCTACTCCACGGTGCAACGACGACGCCAAATTCTTTTATATCCCAAAAGAATAGATCAAAGAGAACACGTTCTCTTGATCAAATACACTCCAAGAACTCTCACAATCTCTCTCTGTGTTTTTTCTCTTACTCTTTTATGAGAGGAGTTGTTTCTGGAATGAGTTTTTCTTTAAGAGTTTAGACCCTATTTATAGTGTTTGGAAAATACTATGCACAAATAAAATATTATTAGTGAGACCCGCAACTAATAATAACTTATTGTGAGACCCACATCCTTTTTCATTTGTCAACAATTTTGGCCACCGAAATTTGATTTGTCAAATTTGGTGGCTGGGGCTGCGGTTGGCAATCTCCCACTTGAAGATTTGATTGAGTATCAATTATATCTTCACACCCTTCTTGGTTGTATCATCCGGATGTCTTGTATCTTTGACGTCTTGCACGGCCCTCAACATTTTTAACGGAGGCCATATGAGGCTGCACACAACCTCACTTTCTTGAGCGGAACTGGCTTGGTCAGCATATCGGTTGGATTGTATCTCGTATCAATCTTCACAAGCTTGAACTCGTTCCTACTTTGCCATCTTCGTGTGACATGATGTTTCACGTCAACATGCTTCGTTCAAGCATGGAATGCGTTGTTCTCTGATAAGTGAATGACACGTTGACTGTCGTAGTGGATGAGTTATTTCTCAAAGCTCACACCAAGCTCGAGAAGAAAAGCTTTCAACCATAGCAACTCCTTTGCTATCTCTGCTGCAGACACGTACTCTGTTTCGGTTGTTGATAAAGCCACGGTATCCTGTAACTTGGATCTCTAACTTATCGTTCCACCATTGTAGGCGTCTAAAAATGCTTATAGATATCTAAATACAGCTCAAGACAAAGAGAAAACAATGAATGTCATTATCTAAATCAGAGGGGGTCATCCAAAGCCAAAAGAAACAAAGAGAGATGTGAAACAAAGTGTATACCCCCTACGGAGTACATTGACGCGCATAGGCACGACAGTGGTAATTGACATGATAGGCACGACAGTGGTAACCGACGCGCATAGGCGAGATAGTGGTCGATATCGCATAAGCGTTTGGGCGTCTTCTTATGATTTGTTGACGGTTTTTTAGCATCTTTGTGGGGTCCACTTGGTTTTATAACTGAGGGAGAACATGTAGCAATGTTGAGAGGCAGTTATACCCTGAAAACACACCCACTACCCACGAAAAATGCGGCCACGAAAAATGCGGCCACGAAGGCAGGGAATGGTAGTTACAAAGATTGAAAAACTGTCTCCTTTGGCCATGATAGTGTCCACTACCGTGCCCAAAGGAGACAGTTAACATCAGTTATTTTGTATTATTTCTAACAGGTATGACTCCTAGAGGCTGTAAATACCTTCCTATACACGCAGAGAAGAGGGACCAGGCAATTAGGGGCAGAGAGACTTGAGCTTTTGGTGAATTTGAGCAAGAGAGAGAGTCTTCATTCTTCACAAACATCCTTAAGAAGTTTTTGGTGATTCCTAAAGATTTAAGCTCTGACTTAATCTTTGGAAGAGTGAACATCTTACATCGATAAGATATTCGCTTAAGATTCTTACTTCAATAAACAAAGAAGAACATCCAAAAGCTTTCACGGTTCAATCAGAATCTGTGAATCGGTGGTCCACGGGCTAACGTACCCCCGGCATAGGCAAAGATCCCACAAAAGCAGGAGTTGATAAACAATTTCTATGTTATTTTTTAGGAAGTTATAATTTTTTTGTTCATTGTGTAAGATAAGTCTTATAAAAAGATTATTTCTTTTAAATTCATTGTAAGCGATAGAAGTTTTAATAGATTCCACAATAAAAACAACTTTCGATGAAAACAACCATCTAAGATGAAGATGTAGCCGCTCATACTCCTTCTCGAGTCTCTGTCCCCGGCATAGTCTGCATCACAAAAGCCCTCTAGCTGCAAATCTGCCCCGCCACACTCAAGTAGTGTAGAAGCCACTTGACCGCACCCCAGTGTTGTTTCCCTGGGTTGCTCATGAAGCGGCTCACAACTCCAATCCCTTGTGCAATATCTGGCCTCATGCACACCATCACATACATCAAACTCCTGATGGCAGATGCGTATGATATGTTGGCCATAAACTCATGCTCTTCAGTAGTCTCTGGTGTTTAGGTCTTTGATAGCTTGAAATGGTTTGCAAACGGCAAGCCCACCGGTTTAGTTTTCTCCATGCCAAACTTTTCAAGAATCTTCTCAATGTAGGCCTTCTGAGACAACCTCAGCCTCTGTGCTAATCTGTCTTCGATAATCTTCATCCAAGAATCTGGTTTGCTGGACCCATATCCTTCATCCCTAAGCACTCGGAGAGACGCCCCTTGAGTTCCTCAATGCGGGCCAAGTCGGACTATGCAATCAACATGTCATCAACATAAATCAAGAGTATCACATAGGATTCGTCATATCTCGTAATAAAGAAACAATAGTTTGTGTCGCATTTGAGAAAACCGTTCTCCTCCATAAAGTTCTCAAACTTCATGTACCACTGTCGTGGAGCTTGCTTCAGACCATACAAGCTCTTGCGCAGGCGACACACGAGGCCCTCCCTGCCTCGTTCCTCGAAACCCGCTGGTTGATGCATATAGATCTCTTCCTT